GTAAGCTTTGGTTTGCTACAATGTGTTGTTCTGATCTGTGCCAGTCAGGGCACTAATCACAGTATGAGTCCATTCTTTGTATGTTTATATACTTGGTGTGTATTGGTCTGGTTTGATTATGATTATGCTGCACTGTGGTGTGTCCTGACAGTGCATTTGAATATGTTACATGCAGCAAGGATAACCGGTTTTACCGGTTTCTCTGGTGTGAATCATGACGTCATGTGACGTCAAAGGGGTGTTTCCATGTGGTAATTAGTCCAGTAGGTGTGTATATAATGGTGATGGTATTACTCTGTAACTGTTCACTTTAAGCCTGATGAAGGGGACCCTGTGCGGCCCCGAAAGCGCTTGCTTCCTTTCGAGTAAATAAAATGAAGATTCACTAAAATCTTTTGTCGTTTCTGGAGTGCTGGTGACATCCATATCCACCGACTATGAGTTTGTCTCTTGCTGCACTACCTTCCTGCCTGCACGTTGCCAACCCGGTCTGCCTGACTTTGAGTATCTTCTGTCTGCCTCCTTGCTGTGCATTTGTACTGCATTGCACAGCAAAGCAGCTAACTGCATTGCACAGCTAAGCATCTGGCACTCGTGCCCCAGAGTACCTGTATTCACTATCAGGCTTTCTGGGACCAGAGTTGCAAGAGAGGCCGCCCTCGTCATCAAGCTCCATCAGGTACGTGACAGTCCCAAACACAATTCACTAAATAGTTAATTATCATTCCCTCAAATAGTTTGCATACTATTGATGTTAGACTGACTGGACTGTAGTTACCTGGTTGGCATCTTGAACCTTTTTTGAATATTGGTACTACCGTAGCTTTACATCAGTCACTTGGTACCCTTCCAGTCATTAACAAGTCCTTGTAGATGAGGAATAACAGTCTTGCTATAACCTGGCCAAGCTCTTTAAGTACTCTAGGGTGCAGGTTATCTGGTCCTAACGATTTATTTGCATTAAGTTTTACCAGTCTTTGTTGAACCCTGGCTACTGTCAACCACTGCGGTATCTTACGTACCAAGCGACTCAGATTCTTATCTCCATTTGACCTGTCTTTTTCCTGAGTGTATACTGAGAAGAAAAATGTATTTATTACATCAGCCTTCTCTCAGTCGTTTGTGATAACTCTCCTGTTTTCATCTTTTAATATGCCTACCTGCTCTTTTCTTATGGCGATATGCTTTTCGTAATCTATTTTTGGTTTCCGGATTTCATGTTTACATTTCTTATTGCATTCCTTGTAGCTCTTGAATGCTAATACAGTCCCCTCCAACTTATATTTTTTAAATGCCAGCTTCTTGTCTGTGATATGTTTTCTTACCGTTTTATTTAGCCATGCAGGCTTAGCTCTCGATCTTTTATTTTCGTTACCTAATGGAATGCACTTGGTAATAGTATTATGTAGGGATGCACCGATATATCGGCCACCGAAACATATCGGCCGAAAATGGCACTTTTGGCATAATGCCGAAAGTGCCATTTTCCTGCCATTGTTATCAATGAACAGGAAGACTCATAGGAGGATTCCTGTTCATTGATAGCAGGGGACACAGAAAAAGAATTCGGTATCGGTTTCGGCCTGACATTTTTTTTTATTTCGTTTCGGTTTTAAAATTTCCATTTCGGTGCACCTCCAGTATTATGTAATGTATTCTTAAAACAATCCCACTTCTCGTCAGTGTTCACTGTTAAAAATAAGTTGCTCCATTTAGCATCAAACACTAGATGATGCAGCTTATCGAAGTTTGCCTTTCTGAAATTTAGCGTTCTTGTCAAACCAACACACTTCCCTTTTCTGTACCAAACATTAAAAATAATCAACCTGTGATCACTATTACCCAGTATATCCTTAATCGCTATGTCTGCAGCTAGGTCCGCATTATTAGTGATTAATAGATCTAGAATTACATTTTTCCTGGTTGCGATCCTTTATGCATCTCACAATCTGGTCACTAATTACCCTTATGTATTTGTGTGTGTATATTAGGCCCCATTCACACCTATGTTTCAGGTGCGATCACAAACGTGAGTTTTCCTGCAGCAGGAATCCCTAATCTGGCGTTTACATGCAGCAACTGTCACCCATTCAAGTTAATGATCGGGGGACAGCTGCTGCATGTACACGCCTGCATACTGCAAGTAATCATATGTGATATGATTACATGCAGTTACAAAAACAATCACTATCCCTGGATACACAATTGTGTATCCAGGGATAGTGATTGAT